GGCTCAGCCCTTAGAGCTTTTGGTCTTTGCTCCAAGAAACCCTTGTAGAGGTCTTTGTGTATCCCTGAGAATATACTTCTCACCTTCCTTGTGAGAATCCCTCTCAACCTTCAAGGCCAATGTAAATGTCAGCTTTTCAAAGGCGTCCCTGGTCATGCCAGACAGAGGGTTTATTCTTCAGGTCTTCCATTAGTTTGTTCAAATGAGGCCTAGAAGCATGCTTAGGGCCGAGGTTCAAGTAAGGCTTTGCTGTTGATTAGCTCTATGGCCATAGGTAAATTACTTAATCTTCCTGTCTTGATTTTCTTGAAATGTTTTTTGTAGTGTGTGTGTGTGTGTGTGTGTGTGTGTGTTTCTTTTTGAGACAAGGTCTCATGTATAGGCTGGCCTCAAACTCTTGGTAATCTCCTGCCTCAGCCTCTTGAGTGAGGCCCTGTGCCTGGTTTTAGAAAATTATTTCTCTTTTATTATTTCTCTTGTTTTTCTTTCTTTCTTTCCCTTCTCTCCCTCCCTTCCTTTCCTCCCTCCCTCCCTCTCTCCCTCCTTCCCTTCCTTCCCTTCTTCCCTCCCTCCCTCCCTCCCTCCCTCCCTCCTTCCCTCCTTCCCTTCCTCCCTCCTTCTTTCCTTCCTTCCTTCCTTTCGTCCTTCCTCTTGTGGATTGAACCAGTGCTTTGCTTATATGAGGCAAGGAACTGCTGGACTGCTGGACTATATCCCAGCCATTGCTGTTTTTATATTTGAATTCACTATAACAATCAAATACACTGACATTTTATGAGGATTTCAGTAATTAATATGTGAGAGGCATTTATGTCTATGTCTATGGGAGCACTGGAGCATTTGCCAAGCAGGCACTCAACTTCTGAGCCAGGCCTCCAGCCCTTTGGCTTTAGTTACTTTTTAGAGAAAATGTCATTTGTGTCCCATCTTGTCCTATATCTCTGCATCCTCCATACCCCACCTTGGTCGTGGCTTCTGAGCATAATCCTCCTACTTAGGCCTCCTGTATAACTGTGATTATAGGCATGTGTCCCCATACTCCACTTTTATGTAGGCATTTAGAACAGAGAAGGCATATAGTAGTTTCAGCTGTGGATATGAGGTTTGTCTTTCAGCTACTTCTTCAGTCATGGGGAGTTGGGTCAAGTACTTCCTCCTTGCTCTTGACTTTCCCTGTCCACATTTTCCCTCTAGCAGCCTACTGTGTTGTAATGTCTTCCCGTTACCCCTGGATAGAGATTCCTATGGGGCAGGGTCCAGACTCTGTGGTTCTGACTTCACACATGCCTTTCACAGGGCTTGGCATGGAATAGAAACCCAGTAAATGATTGATTGGCTGATGGTGAATTTTTGCCTAAATGAGTGCAATTCATTGCTGTTTACAAAGTGTTCCTGTAGAAGTTCGGTTCGACTTTCTAAAACAATCCTTAAAAAATATGAAAGGTTTCCCAGAAAAATATGAAAAATAAGAGCAATGCTGTTCTGCTTTTTTTAGACCTAACTTTTACAAGTTAGGTCTAAAAATAGGCAGAGCGGTTCTTGTTAGTGAAGTCAGATAGGACCAGAAGGGAAGGAAACATAAGAGGTGTGATTTTTTTTTTTATTAACAGTTTACAGGAGGAAATCACAGCCTTCTGAAAAGTGTGACTGTTTTTGTGTGGTTTAAGAAAAGTACTTGTCTTTCAAAAGTTGAGTGAAGGGCTGGGAAGGTGGCTCAGTGGTAGAGCGCTTGCCTTGCATGCCTGAGACCCTGCGTTTGATTCCTCAGCACCACATAAGCAAAAAGAAAAAAGCCGGAAGTGGCATTGTGGCTTAAGTGGTAGAGCACTAGCCTTGAGCTGAAGAGCTGAGGGACAGCGCCCAGGCCCAGAGTTCAGGCCCCATGACAGGACCCCCCCAAAAAAAAAACAA